CTGGGTCGGCTTAAAACTCGGGTTTCGGCATGGGAGTCCGCTTTCTCCCGGGGTAGGCGGACTCCCACGAGAATATAAACATGTCCACAGTGGGTAGGCGGACTCCCTCATTCTCTGCCAGGGTCTCAGTTTTTACAGACATGGGGCTACATTGCTCACTGCTTCAACACGTTCTTGCACATGAAGCAACACATTTGGATGGATGACGGATGGGTGACTGTAAGTTGTTGCATCATGTTTGCAAACCGCAGCTCGCTCTCGGGCTCCGTGTTCCAGGAAACGGCTGCTGATCCTTGCCTGACCGTTGTAGGCTCTCATGGCAGACTGCCCCCTGAAGCGGATGAACACACGCATCATCGACGGCGTTGCTCCAACTGCAGCCGTGGCCTGCCCTTTAAGGCGGATGAACGCACAAATCTGGGACGCTGACTCCGGCGTCGAGGCAAACGAATGTGCTGAGGGTGAAGTCCTGGGCCTGAGCGATCTACAAGACCCCGGCGCAGAGCAAGGCGAGCCTTCGAGGAAGCGACAACGGCTTCGGCTTCCTGAAACTCCTGCGGCAACTTATTTGCAATAGCAAAACAAGGAGGTAGGACAACAACACTTGCAAAATTGCATATGGGCTGTGAAAGCTTTTCTTGGGATCAGGCTTGGCAGAGACTCGAGGATATGATCCTGCGCATGGAAGGGCACGAGGACCTGAGGCGGTACATGGATGCCAGGCAGACAGAGGACAGCTCCGCACACAGGTCAGGGCACGTGGACTTGGAGACACGGAACAGTGCTGCGGACTTTGCACAAAGTCAAGACCTGCTGCCCCTGAACCAGATCATGGACGACTGATTTCAGCATGCAGCATTCGCTTCTGCTGCGGTGTTCAGATTCAACATAGCAGGCAGCCACCTAATTAGCACCGCCTTCCTCCGTGCCAAGGGTGCTGAGTCTTGCAAAAGGGTGCTGAGTGAATGCAGCTACTTGTTCGTCATGCTTCTGGGCACGGAGCTTGTTGTGTTTTTGCTCATAAGGTCAGCACTGGACCAGCTCGAATCCGTGGAGGCAGGTTGCTGTTGCTCTTGCTGTTGCTCATGTTGTCGTTCTCCTCGTTGTTGTTGTTGTCGTTGTTGTTGTTGTTGCTTGTTGTTGTTCTTGCTGCTATTGTTAGAAGCTTTGCACTCGTTCGCCCAGGCCATCAGTGGACCAGCTCGACTCAGTGGAGGCAGGCTTTTTCATCACATGCTGCAGGGGACCCTGAGAGAGGGTTCATCTGGCGTCGTTTGTAGACTCTGGTACTCTTTTCAGATCTGAAAGAGGTTCATTTTGCCAGCCACGTGCGCAGCATGATTCTCAAGTTTTGTTGGAGCGCAGCGAGTGCTCCAGGGAATATTAGAAGGGATGCTTTTCGAAGGTTCGACAATTCGGGTCCAGGAGTGATCACAAGGCCAAAGGGGCCTAGGAGAATCTTCAGCATCCGTGATATACATGAGAGCAAGAGATCATCGGTTCTAGGACTTCCGTGATACCATGGCGAGTGAGGAGGAAGTGGAGCTGCCCTCAAGTTCCGATGCAGAAGTTGTCAGCTTGCCTTCTGGCAGTGATGGAGAAAATGAAAGAAATGGAGGGTGCTGCCAGCAAGGATGTTTGATGGTGTTGGGCGAGAGCAGCTCCTCCCAACGAATCGTAGATGACTTGCAACAAGCACTGCAAGCTGCTTCAAAATCAGATTCGGATAGAATCCGCTATGATTGCATGCGCAATTGGCACACTGGGTCTGGGTGGCGGCAGCACACTTTCTGCGGGGTGAAAGTATGCAGAATGGCAATGTGTGGCTTGCTGAAGATGAGCACTAGGCGGTTTGCGAAGATGCAGAAGCACCAGGCACAGGGCTTCCTAGAGCCACCGAACGACTTGCGAAAGGTCGTCTCGAGCCAATTGTCCTCGAACCCAGCAGAGGTGAATGCTCATAGTTTGCTGGCGTGGGTGCATCTGCACATGGCCGAGCCTTTGGTGGAGTCTGGTGATGTTTTCACCTCAACGAAGATGAAGCTGGGCAGCTTCAACAAAAGCGGCCTCTTGAAAGAGTCAGCCCTGGGCGATGAAGTGGTTCGCTATCTGCCGCCACACACGACCTTCACAGAGATGCGCCAGGTTGTCCCCCGGCCGGAGACAGATTGAGAAAGCAGCAACAGCAGTTTCAATAGAATCCATAGGTTCGGTTGGGCAGGTAATTTGGGAAATACATCATGGCGACCTGAGGCGATGTCTTTCATGCCGGTGGACCCTGCCCCGAGCTACTCGACGTTTGTCCGATGCTTTCACCAATCCTGGCATGGGCGGCTCAAGATCAGGTACGACCTCCAGCACTCCAAGTGCGCCGAGTGTGAGAAGCTGAAGCAGTGGATGCGTGTGGCGACCGGTCCAGAGGACCGGCAGCTCATCAAGAACGATTACTGCCAGCACCTGCAGTCGATGCTAGACGACCGGCGCATGGATGCAGAGCTGAATGCTCAAGGCAGCTCTGGAGAAACCATGGTGTCGCTCACGATCGACAGCATGGACTGCGCCAAATTTAAGTGCCCACGGCGCTTGTCGGCGTCCAAAGAATTTCAGAAGCTGTGGAGACCGGAAAATACTTTTACCGCTGTCTTGGCGGACAGGTTCTGCGAAGACTACTATGTTTTGGACCAAGATGTGGTGAAAGACTCCAACCTCATGCTTACACTGCTGCTTCGCACACTGCAAAGGGCCATGAAGGAGCGATCATCTGCGCCAAAGGTGATCAGGGTCCACAGTGATAATGCAGCAGGCGAGACCAAAAATCAGATTGTTCTGAAAGCAGGGGCCGTGTTGGTCCGGCAGGGGTGGTGCCGGGAGTTCTTGCTGACAAGCTTCCGCGTTGGACATTCTCATGGTCCCGTTGATCAGAAGTTCAGCGTGGTGCGGTCCCTGTTGGCTGACAGCGAGGACCTGGAGACACCTGAAGACTTCATGTCTGTGGTGGCAGGGGGTATGAAGCCCAAGCCGGGTCAGAAGATCAACGTGGAGAAGATTGAGGGCAGCTACAACTTCAAAGACGCTCTGGAGGAGTTCGCTGCCATACAGTTGGCAGGGCATGTGCAAACAGCCGCCATGACACAGAGGGGCGAGGAGGCCATCCATGTCTTCTCCTTGGTGCAGCGGAAGCACTACAATCCAACCGAGGATCATCCTGTGCGAGAGTGCCTTTTGTTCCCGCCACATGAGGATGATATCATCTTGGAGATGTTCCAATACATCTCCTCGCCAGATCAGTGCCAGGATCCCATTGTCTTCATTCCTGCATGTGTTGGCAGAGACATCGATTTTGCGAGCCTGCCCCTGGCCCCACGCAGGGAGTTCTCAGACACACAAGCCAAGGAGTTTGAAAAAACAGCGATTCAGATTGCGAAAATGCCATGGAACATGGGACGGGCCAGCTCTTACTTGAGGACGATGATCAGGAACAATGCCTCTCCTTCGACCGCTCCTTGGTCTGCTCCAGACATTCGTCTGTCCCTGAAGGCAGCAGATGCTTCAGCTGTGAAGGCCGAGCAGCCATCGCCAGCCGAGGCGATGGATCTGAGCTTCACAAATCGTGCTCCAGCGCCCGTTTCTGTGAAAGTGAATAAGAAGGTGGCCACAGCTGCCAAGTCCAAGCCAGTCCAGAAGGTGGCCGAGGCATCAGACGATGTGCCGTTGCCGGATGACGACGACCAGCAGCCTCCGCAGCTTGCACCGGCGACCTCTGCGAGTGCAGCACAGGGAGCGCCGCTTCGAGTGCCGATACCACCGTTGGCCAGTGCCCAAGTGAAACCCAAGGCCAAAGGCAAGGCTAAAGGAAAAGCGAAGGCGAAGGCCGCAACGGGCACTCCAGCTTCTAGCGGAGCAGAAGGTGAAGGTGCATCCGCCGAGCCACGAGGAAAGAAACCCAGGTATGGGATGTTGCCCTTTCCAGACGATGTGCATGAAAGGTGCACTCTGGGATGCCCGAAGTGCGTCCACAACAGGCACATTGGTTGTGCAAGATGTCGGGCCAAGCAGGGTCTAGTTTTGAATGATGAAAAGACGGCCTGGATTTGGGCCGATGGGTCATGATGCTTCAGCCTCTCGCCTCGCGTACTCGTCGACTCTGGACATAATATCTTATTCGCAAAAGCAACCTAGGTAAAAACAAAAAGCGAGGCCAGGGCAGATCTGAAGCAGCATCGTAGGCAGAAAGATGGAAAGGCACTTTGCCAATCATCCGCTCGTGTGAGTTGCAGTCCGTGACATTCTGACACAGCGACAGAGAGCTTGAAAACATGACATCAATCTGCTGCGCAAGTGCATAGATGTTTGCTTTCAGGCAGGAGCTTGAGCATCTGTTGTTCGTTGTGCTCTCTTGCAGGCTGCTGCCCGGGAGGATGGTCCAGCCCTGAGCTGGCGTGCAGCAGGCAAGCAGCCTCGGTTAGCTCTCACTCCACATCGAATTCCGATTGAGCTGGACTTGAGACGTCCTGGACTTCATTGGCTCACGTAGCACACAGTGAGTGAGACCGTAATGACGAGATCCAAGACTGTTCTCTTGTAGAGAAGGACACAGGCTCAATGTGCTACGTGCAGGATAAGACTGTAGCCAGTAGCTGTTCTGTCGAGCACGACAAAGCAGAGGAACATGGCATCTGAAAGCATCGTCGTTATGAGCGATGATGAGGACCGGGATGTGGATAGCAAGATGCCCTCTGACAGTGCCGTTGTCATTGTGAGCGATGATGAGGAGGATGAGGTCATGACGATCACTCATTTTGCAGAAGCTTATAGCGTGCCAAGGGTTTCGTTTGCAGTGCGGCGTTTGGGCCTCCAAGTTGGACCAGCGATGGACCTGAAGACAGGCTATGATTTCGTGACAATGGAAGGTCGAGCCAGAGCTCGTCGCATTGTGACAGAGATGAAACCCCTGTTCCTCATGTTGAGCCCGCCCTGTCGCATGTACAGCCGACTGCAGATATGCTTTAAGAATTTTGCGCGAAGGCCTCCAGCTGAAGTGGCTGCGGACAAACTCCAAGCTGATGTTATGCTGGAGTTTGCAATGCAGATGGCAGACGAGCAAGTGAAGGAGGGCAGGTTCTTTGGTTTCGAGCACCCGGTCGATGCACTCTCCTGGGAACAGCCGTGTGTAAAGAAGCATCTGAGCAACTGCTATTCCTGTGCTTTCGATCAGTGCCGCCTGGGTCTGGAGGACCCTATCACCAAGGAGCCGATAAGAAAGCGGACTCGTTTCATGTCGAACAGCCCGCACATTCTCCACTTTGAAAAGTTTCAATGTTCCTGCACAAGGCGACACAAGCACATACGTGGCTGTGTTAACCTGAACGGCTCTATTCCCTTGAGTGAGTTTTGTCAGCAGTACACACCACAGTTGTGCCAAGAATTGGCCCACGTGGTTTATGCTGCTACGACACATGCACCGTAGCTGTTCGCACAAGGCAATTATTCTGTGTCCTATTGTTCTTTTAAGCACGATCTTAGAAATAACAGCAGTGCAGCGGCAGCGGACCGATTCACATTGCATCGTCAGACCAATTAAGAGAGCAATTCAAGTATGAGGAAAAACATGCGAAGCTTTGATTCTGCACGACAGAGACGTAGCAGGCAGCAGGAGCACAGCCTCTGTCTTGTTCCCGGAAGTGTGCATCTCTGCTGCTAGAAGCTGGAAAACGAACATCATCAGGTCATGCTGATGACATGGAGATCAAGAAAGATGCCTGGCACTCAATGTTGTTTTGGAGATGCAGACCGCTGGAAATTCTGATTGATTGAAGCTGCAGTGTGCTCATGTGACCAGTGTGATTGTCAGCCCGTGTTAGAAGTTGGCTTTTCCCGGGTGAGAAGAAGGTGCAGGACTACAGAATAGCATTCTATGAAGCTCTGAGAGAGAGCTATCACTCTGTGAGAGAGTGAGATCAGAAGACGAGAAGAAGGTGCAGGACTACGTAGTAGCATTGTATGAAGCTCTGAGAGAGAGCTGTCGTCACTCTGTGAGAGAGTGAGAGAAGAAGACGAGATAGAGAGAGAGAGAGAGCAAGAGAGAGAGCAACGGAGTCTGTACAATTGCAGAACCTGACGATCAGGACCCTCCGAGCTCAGACCCCCCAGATCGTCAGATTACGTTTGAAATCTGACGTACTCCTTGTTCTGTTATATGAACCTGACGTACTACCCCCCCTGAGCTCGTGACCCTGCGTTGGTCAGATCCTCCATCTGTTATATGAAGATGGTCAGATTACGTTTGAAATCTGACGTACTCCCCCCCCTGAGCTCGGACCCCCCTGTTCGTCAGATTTGGCCTGTGTGGGAGTCTCCGAATTCCTGCAAAATGACAACTTTTCTCGTCGCGAAGTCTTGGCTTTAGACTGGACACCCGCCTTTAGGGCTGCTGTCTGTCATGGCGGATGTGAAGATGGAGGTCGCGAAGTCGGAGGAAAGCGACACGACCTTTCCTCACGAGACAGTGACCGACGAGAATTTCCGCGATGTTGTTCTGGACATTTTCGAGAAGGAGGTGAACAGGTTCAAGAACTGTTGGGCGTATCTCGACCATTTTCACAAAGACCGGTCTGCGTTTGCTGATCAGCTTCGTGCCCTCTTCCCACAGAAGCCCGAGGTAGAGTACCTCTTGTCCTATGTGATTCCGTCGACTGGCAACTTCAGCGTATCTCTTTGGCACTTGAACTGGGGCCCGGATTGCTCCACAAAGCCGGTGCCTGACCGTGTCACCGTGAGATCATTGCTGGATGAGTACTTGACAAGTGGAGTGGCGACCCGAGCAGAGCCCCTGATGGTCTACCAGGCACAGGACCCTGGGAGGAACGATTTCATTCTTCATTTTGCCAAAGGAGCCGCAAGGTCAGCAGCATGCCTTGTGCTGGCCAGCCTTGTCATGCGGTACGGCTTCCATTTGAAGACCTTCGTGCAGGAGAGCATGTGTGAGATTCATGTCACACAGGCAGACTGTGGCTGTGACATTGCCTCAGTGGCCCTGTTCAACGCAAAGATGAGTGCACGCGGGGACATTCGCAAGGCTCACTGCTCCTTGGACAGCTGGGTTTTGTGGGTGTGTAGTTTCGGTGTTCTTATGTCATCAGTTACCCTTTGAGCGAGGTTGCTTGACATGGCTGGCCAAAATGATGGTGCTGAAGAAGCACAATCATGATGCAACCAGTATCATTAAGGAGTGGAACCGCACGTGCACGAAGGATGGGCAGATCAAAGGGGCCAAGCACACGGCCCTGTTGTCCCTGTTGAATCTGCCACAGTTTTGCGTCGATGCGCTGCTCGAACACTTGAACGAGTTCGGGTCTCAAGGAGCATTCAACGACAACCAATGGAGCAACAAGAAGGTGTTGCCAGGTGGTGGGCCGAAGGGCTACCCCAGAGAATGGAACAGTCGGCTCCAGGTGACGGACGAAGGCTTCTGCCTCATGATCAAGTACCTGGACAATCGACACCGGATGAAGCTTGCAGGCTCACGATGCAAGTTCAGCGGGTCGGATGTGGAGGAGGCCGCTTTGGTATGCCAGCTCTTGCACTCCCTTGTTCATGAGCTGGAGGACTCAGTGCCCCTGCAGGTCAAGGAAGACGTATGCACACTCCTGGTGCAGGGAGACATGAACTTGCTTCTGCAGCTCCAAGGAGCCCTTTCAGAGAAGAGAAGCAACCTTGCTCCTGCAGACATTCTGGTGCTCAGGGAATACATCCAAAAGCATGTCGCAGACGGGGAGAAGAAGCTTCGCAACCTTGGTGCGGTTTCGAACAGCATCAATCCGGGACAGCTGGAGCGGCAGGAGTTCGATCTTGCCATTGCTTCCATGCGACACGACATGGACGTGTATGGTGCTTGGCTTGTTCGGAGCCGCGATCGCGAAGCCGGGGTTTATCATCAGAATCTTCAGTGGAGGCTTGGCAGGCAGAATCGAGCCAAGGAGATGGCTGAAGGCATCATGCGGCGAAGCTCGGAAACTTGGAGGATGGAGTTTGCTGTTTTGGAGTCAGCAGCCCAGGGCCTCAAGACCATCCAAGAGGCCATGAAGTACATCTGCAGGCTAAACCAGATTTCGGCGGAGAACTTGAAGTGCATCGTCATCCTGAATTGGTGTGCACCCTCTTTGTTTTCGTCCCAAGTTCAGCGAGATCAAGCATCTTTGATGGGGGCCATCTTGAATGGGCAGTAGCTTGCCAGATTCTGGCATGATGAAGTTTGCGTAGGTCCTTTTCAATTTCTGTACACAGTCACAAGCAATTAAATTAAGGAATGCCGTGGCTGGAGGCGTGTGCCTGACACCTACGTTTACATACAACAAGGGTCAGCTTCACAAGACAGAGCAGGAGGCTTTGAGGCTCCTTGCGGAGTCCAACCTCAATCTCGACCACGTTGCTGTGGTGCCCTACAAAGGGCGCAACGACGACCGAGAGAAGAGGTTCAATGGGGTTTGATTTGTGTTGTTATTCCGGGATGTGGGACTCTGGTCACGTGTGATTCACTTGACTGTGACAGTGTCAGGCCACTGCTCATGCTCACCCGCATTTTGATGCCGATGGACGAAGTGGCTGCTGAACGGGCTCAGGAGAACTGGCGACTGTCCGCCATTTTCAGAAAACCCCTATTGGAAGAGGCGGACCTTCCCCAGACCCGGGACCTTCTGGCGATAGAGGATCTGGATCCTGCGGCATTGCCAACAACCACCGATGCCCATGTCCATGTGCCCCAGCCAGAGAAGGCAATGCAGATCGGAGAGTCAGCAGCGAGGTCGATCCTCCGAGGCTTCTTGGCCCAGGACTCCACAGTTGGAGCCACTGCGGGTACGAGAAGTGCGTTTCTGTGCATTGACTTGAGCCCGCACACCTGTGACTTCAGCAGAGCCGCCCTGGCTGAGACCAAGTTGCCCGTGTACTACCTGGGCTTGACAAGGAGCGAGGGAGAGCTCGAGTGGTCAAAATCCTTCGTGAGGGACTGGCTGGCAGACAGCTTTTTGGACGGGAGCCTCCAGCTGCCACCGACAATGAGCCTTCCCCCGATTGAGATGCCCACCGAGTTGCAGCAAGCCGCACCCCCGCTACCAAATCTGCAGACTCTGCTGCTCAACAAGGTGCAAAAGTACGAAGGCCTTCCGAGCCTCAAGACGCCCGACCGGGTGCTCGCGGCATGGGGCGATCACGCGAGATTCAAAACAGAATTCGAAGAATTCTTGCAAAAATCGAGGGAGGAGCTTCCTCTTGACTTGACACCGGAGAAGGCAGACAAGAGCAGTGGCGCTGGCAGTGGCTCGGGCAGTGGCTCCGGCAGTGGCTTGAAGAGGGAAGCTGATGGCACACAAGGCCGAGTTGCCAAGAAGCAGAAGGTGGAGACCCTTGTGAATCCAGAGGTCGTGGCCAAGCGATCAATTCCCTTGAAAGATCTTCCGAAGCCACTTACATGGGAAGCAGACTTGCATCTGCCAAAGTCTGCCAAGGCAAAGGTTTCAGTGATTATCACTTTGGGGGAGAGGATCTTCTTGGTCAATCACAGCCAGGACAAGGACGTGGTGTTGGAGAAGAACACCTGCGTGGCCGGATTCTACAAGGGGAAGTGGTGGCAGCACAAGGGCAGCAAAGACCAGGCTTCTGTCAAAGAGAGTGACATCTTGTTCACATTGAAGGATGCCGACAGCTTGATCCAGATCGGAAGCAAAGTGCACACCCTGGGCGAAGCAGTGCAGGAGATCGTAGACAAACGAGAAGCTCCCCCGGCCCCCCTTAACTCCACGCTTTTACCAGCAGCTAGCCTAAAAACGTTCGGCCCTTTCTGATATTAGGAGCGGCGCAAAACCCAGCCGGATGTGACTGTGTCCTACCACAAGATCTGCGATTCGCCGACAAGCACAAAGCCAGCCTTCTTCACGATGTCTCAAACTCACACAATCTATTGGGAGATCCAGGCAATCCCGGCTGACTGCATCCAGCATGATTTTGGTACTGGTTTCTACTTTTGGAGTTGAAGCCCCTTTGTGGGGGAGTTGTGGAACATGATTGCTAAGCTGGGCTTGCTAAGCCCTTTGTGTCCTGTGCAAGTCTGTCAGAAAGGCAAGTCGACTGTGAAGGACCAGGATGGCAAGACATGTGTCCCGGTCCATCACATGGGCGGAGTCATTCCATTTTCTCGGTGGGAGACATGGGCATCTACTTTGGTGTGGGCCTCTAAGTGGTCGCCGACCTCCGCAAAGGGCCTGGTTCCATGCCGACCTTTGATTGTCTTGAAAGAATCCGTGCCACTCAGCCCTCAAACGGCAATCGAGCTGACAGCAAGTGAAGGACCATCAGCCGAGCCCGTGGCGTAAGAAGGCTGAGCCAAGCTTGCAGGTGCCACGGCACCCGAAGGTGTTGTGACTGGTCATTGGCCTCTTGATTAGTGTGTGCAGACGGTCCAGACACCAACAGTTAGTCAACGTACTCTTCGGCACCTGAAACGGCAAGCAAATGTGGGAAGGCCTGGCCAGCACAGCTACCTGCTTTTTGAATCTAGTTTTCCAGGACACAAGCGCAGGAGATTGTACCGATTGCGCCTCTGTGTTGGCTCGCCGCCGGGGATGTGCCTATGTGTTCATTGGCTCGCCTCAGAGTTCACATAAAGAGTATAGAAGACCAAACTGCAAGAATGCTGCTTTAATTTTTTATGAATCACACATGCTGCTTCTTGTTACTGTTACAAGATCCGAATGGCAAGCCAAGAATTATTTGTTTCTTCAACTGCCTTGCACCTGAGACCGTTTCAGCCAGGCTTCTTGTTGGGTTTGCAGCATACAGTAGCCACACACAGAGACTAATGGAACTCTGGAGCAGGTGTCTCATGGCAGTTTAGAAAGGTTTGCACTGCGAAAGCCAGTGGCATGACAAAAGGCAGCGACGAGGTCACTGTGCAAGCCCAGAGCAGTGCGTGTTTTTCGACATGACCTGAGGGCATGGCAAAATAGTCCTGGCTGCTTCGAGGTCACAGCCTCCAGGAATCAGTCTTCGTGTGCGTGCGAGGAGAAGGTGTACGCAAAGGCCGGACATTCTGTCATTGTGGCGATCGCTTCTCCAGAGCTTTGCATTAACAGTCCAGCCTGTACACGGAGCAGTGAAACAAATGCGCGAGGCTTTGAGTACATCTTCTCTTCCCATGCACATGAAGGTGCGTGACAGACAGACAGATAGATATAATAGAGAGAAACACCGACACGGACAAAAAAGACAGCGAGAGAGAGAGAGAGACAGACAGAGAGACAGAGAGAGAGAGAGGGGAAGAGAGAGAGAGAGAGACAGGGAGACAGAGAGAGAGCGAGAGGAGAGTGATTGTTTGTGTTTATATATATATGTATACACATGTATTTTTGTGGTTGTCTGTCTGGGGTACGTGTCAGTGTGCGTCTGCACGCACCTTCAGGTCTGACGATGTTGAGAAACATGGCAGTCATTTCTTCTTCTGATTCTTCTTCTGATACGATAAACGCAGAAGACGCTTCAGGTCTGCGTTCTGCTCCAAGATTTCACCTGCTTGGTCCTCAGCAATCTGTCCGTATCCTCGGAATGTCCTGTGCAGACACAGGACTGAAACTGTCAGTGTGGACAAGACTTTCGGGTAGTGATGTGGCCGGCCTGGCATCCGCGATTCGTGCGTACAGCATGGCAACCTCCTCTGGCACAGAGGCCAGTTTTAGATCCTGCACCATCTTCTGTCGACCGCTGTGAGACCTGACTTTCTCCGTGTCAATCCAAACACCTTTCGGAGTCTGAAACGTTTTACGAAGCCGCTGGATGGCTTTGCACACAGTGTCTTTGCATCGATTTACTTGTTTGCTATCCTTACGAACAGCAGGAAACAACAAGGCATTATTTTCCTTTGGGAAGGTCCACACATCTTGGAAAGGACGCTTACCCAGGATTCCTCTTGCGCGGCTCCTTTGTTTGCTAAGACCCTTGCTTTTTAAATGGCGCAAAACCTGAAACACGGCCGAAATCATGGGTTTCTTCACAGATTTCTGGCCTTTGAGCGGCTGTATCAAGACTGTTCGAGCCTTCCAATTGAAGTGTCCTGCACGTAGCTGTAATGCTTCTGTAACTCGCAAGCACAGAAGATGTGTTAGGAGCAAGCAGGCGTGCAGCCAGCATGAACCACTTTTGTGAACATGTGCTAGCCACATAGCCCACAACTGCCCGGGCATGCTGGATGCTTTTCCTCTGCTCTTCACGGATCTCTTCTTCGTCGTCGCCTTGCGTGATGTCCGAGGTTTCTGCACACGCAAGGCAGGAGATTTAGCCATGGTGTGCCAGGCAGGATGGAGCTGGATAATTGAGCCAATTACTGTGGACATGTTTATATTCTCGTGGGAGTCCGCCTACCCCGGGAGAAAGCGGACTCCCATGCCGAAACCCGAGTTTTAAGCCGATGACAGTCTCAGTCTCTCATTTTCTCAGAAAGCAACACCCAGGTTGCTCGGAAGTGGGTCGCTCTCTCAGCGACTCTGAAGCCCGAGCTTTCGAGCTGTCACTCTCTCAGTGACCAGAGATCAACACCCAGGTTGCTGGCATTGCTGGGAAGGTCACTCTCTCAGTGACTCTGATATGCAAACTTGAGAAAATAAACTGATTGAGCTAACACAGCCCAACAATGCCAAGGTCGCGACAGCGTCGGTTCCCGGCCAGGATCTCTGCCTGATTGCCATGAAGAGAAGTGCTAAATGGTATGTGTACTTAGGATTCGAGCCCTGCCAGGTCGCACCTTCCACCATTGTGCGGTGTCCAAGTCTCAGCAATCATGCCCAGTAGAGTGCAAACAACGGGGAGCACTGAGAGAGTGCAACAACACTTTGCGCTGAGAGAGTGCGACAGAACAACACTTGACCACTGAGAGAGTGGGACAGTGCAGCAAGTCCTTCGCTGAGTGGAAGGCCCATGGATTGAATCATGCACCTCGACCGGCAGTTGCACTGTAGTAATAAGTGTAATCAGCAGTCTGTGCCACTTCAGGCGCACTCGCTTCGTGCCCCTCGTGGTCCTGCTCTCTCAGCAGTTCAAGGTGCACTCTCTCAGTGCCCGGATTCGTCGGTGTACTGAGAAGCAGGCCGGCTTGTTGGCTGAGCTGAGACAGCACAGGCGCCAGAAGCAGTGACCGAGCACATCGAAACTTCTGCCGGGGTGCAGCAAATAGCTCAGCCCCAGGCCTCCTCGGTGTGGCACTGACCTTGTCACACAGGCACGCCGGTTTCATCTCGAATCTTGTATGCTTGCTTTGAAGTCAGCGTGCCCATGACATGTGACTGCGCTGTGTCCACAAAATGGATTCAAGGCTCATTTCAAGGCCGAGTTTTCGAAGGCTTTGCAGAGTCTGAGTCGTGACAACGAACATAGCTTGCATGATACTTCGCATTGCCCAGGGTGACATCAACCATCATGCATGTCACATATCCAAGTGCCAGCCAGGCCTATGTACAACCCAATATGCATGGTACGTCTACGAGCGACAATAAATCGTCATGCATTGATAGTTGCTTGTTTGCAAGCAACCATGGGTGAGTGGTCTGGCTGGTCCTGGAGAACATGGGAGGCTGAGGCGGCTCAGGACACCCGTCCTGCCTGGTCAGACAGGCAGTGGCAGGACCATGCTGGAGGGCAAAATGATGCTTGGGGCGGCGACGGCGGTGCCAGAGCAAGCGAGCCGGCTGTCATGTCTTCAAGACCGAAGGCTAAGGCCAAGCAGACGCCAAAAGCAAAGGCAAAGCCTAAGGCCAAGGCTGACAACCGTAATGCCAGGGACCGGCGGGATTTCGAGAGGTGGAACTCGGACCACCGTCGGATGATGGTGGCAGAACACGAGGCGGAAAGGAGCGCCGCCGCTTTGCAAGAGCTCCAGTTCGAGTTGTGGTCACTCGAAATCACCACGGACCTCTTGCAGACAGACATGGAGAACCTCCAGACTGAGCTCAAGCAGGAACAGGAGAAGCTGCGAGAGGAGCAGGGGAGGAACAGCCGCTTGCTCAATGACGTAGACAAGGCTATGCGGCAGAAGCTGGATCTGGAGCAGAAGATATGTGAGCTCCGGTCGCAGAAAGAGGAGCTCTCTGGCAAACTTAAACAATGCGAGAAGCGGTTGGAGTCCGCACAGTTGGACACAGCGGCCCTCAAGAGACAAGGGAACGCCGCGGAGTTCGACTTGAAAAGAAAGACCGAGGAGAACACCGCCATCCGAGCCGACCACAGCAAGTACAAGGCAGGATGGGATGGAGTATAAGGGTGTTGTTGGTTTGGAGTCTCACTCCAGCTGCCATTGTGCAGGCGAAGACAGACAAGGTCATCGAGGAGTTGACATCGGAGAAGGCTGCGAGCCCTCATCCTCGCACGATTGGTCTTAGGAGTCTCGCTCCAGCTGCCATTCTGCAGGCGAAGAAAGACAAGGTCATCGAGGACTTGACAGCCGAGAAGGCTGCGAGCCTTATTCCTCGCATGATTGGTCTTAGGAGTCTCGCTCCAGCTGCCATTTTGCAGGCGAAGAAAGACAAGGTCATCGAGGAGTTGACAGCCGAGAAGGCTGTGAGCCTTAATCCTCGCACGATTGTTCTTAATGTTTCCTTCGTCAGGATCGCTACAAGCTGCTGTGTTCTGCCTTTGAGAAGACATACAAGGAGGCAGAAGCTCGTAGTACCTCTGGTTTTATGCCGCAGTATGGGAGACTGGAGTAACTACTGGCACAGGTCCCCGCACCGCCGGTTCAGCCGATTCCGGAGCCCATGGTTTTTGGACAGACAACCCGAGCCACAGGGGTTCTCGACTCAGAGGGGACAGGTCCGCGCAATCTGCAGATACGACAGTTATCCGCTCAGGTACCCCTACGATTGCCAGGGCAGAGTGCTGCCCGAAGCCCAGCACGTTGATTTCGAGGTGACACTGCTGCTGCCACTGCTTTGCTTTTTTTGCACAGGTGCCCGTCTCCAGTGGGGGAATCGGAAGCCAGACAAAGGCGGGGTCTTTCGCATCATTGAGAGCTTACACTATGAAGCAGAGGGATCGAAGCCTTCCGAGGCAGAGGAGACGGCCGAAGCCCGGGATCGGAAGACGGAGGCCCCTTATTGTCATCACACGAACACCGAATTTGATTTCACGGGCAGGTGGCTACGGCCGTGAAATCAACTGCAGCTTCACCACAGGCCGGACAGTCTTTGCACTCGGTTGGTGCCCGGACCCTTGTTTGGCGAGGTGGCAACAGCATCGGCTACAGGGTCAGCGCCGCAGGCTCGCGGCTATCCAGCTAATGATACTGTGTTTGTTCTGCATTAAAAGTTGGGTAGGTGGACAAGTCGCCGGC